GAGCGATAACGCTAGCTCGTAATGTGTCACTGACCACTGAAAAATAAGAAAGGAGATTTGTTTTTTTGCAAAACTCAACTCCACTTGCGGTTTCCTGCCTCAGTTCCATTCTTATTTATTTTTTTTCTCGTGGCGTCTCTCCAGGGCTCAATAAAGGACCAACTCAAGGCCTACGGGGCTCTGACGGAGAAGGTGACAAGAAGATACACCAGGCAGATCCTTCAGGGAGTCTCCTACCTGCACAGCAACATGATTGTACACCGAGACATCAAAGGTAACTGCACACCGCCAAAAGGTCAGAGCAGGAGTTTCATCGGATTTGTAACCGAGAGGGGGAAAAAAAACTGGAAAAACATTCTATTTCGGTCTCTCCTTTGAGATAAATTAAGCCCAAAACAAAAATTAGTCAACTCCGGATGGAAAAGCTTTCGTTTTGCTTCCTGCAGCTCTGAGAGTGACTGTTGGTCCACTGTGGGTCGCCCGGGACACCAGCCGGCCCACGTTGGTGGGGTTTTTCCACATGTATACTGTGAGCTCACCTCAGCTAAAGAGACATCAGCTGGAGTTTCTTCTGACTTCAGCAGCGACACGAGCGACGTAAAGGCCCGGAGACATGGGCTGTAAAGGTTCAGGTCTCTCCTGTGGTGTCGTCTAATCCCTTTGTGGGTGTGGCGGACGAGTGGTGCACATTAGTCACTGATCAAACAAGTCGAGGAAATGAGATGGACACGGCTTTGGTTGGAAAATTACTACAAGGAGAAGAAGGAGGTCCGATTAATCTCATCTGGAGCATATTTGTGTTTGGTTTTCTAAAGTTTCTGACATTTTTTTTTACCCCTAAATAAAAATAAACTTTAATATTTATAGAACTGATGGAGTAACATTTGGCTAGAATAACCTCAAGATTCCTGTTTGCATTTTATAAATAACTCTGGGACGGTATTCCATCACCTCAGAGTAAAAGTGGGTTGGAAAGCTGCCACATTTACTCTCAATCCACCTTAAAAGCTGCTGACAGCTCCCGGGAGGCTTTTAAATAACTGAGCTCTTTTTTCCTGTTTGGTTCCACCAGGTGCTAACATCCTCAGAGACTCCTCAGGAAACGTGAAGCTCGGAGATTTCGGAGCCAGCAAACGGATCCAGACCATCTGCATGTCTGGGACGGGGATCAAGTCTGTCACTGGCACCCCCTACTGGATGAGCCCCGAGGTCATCAACGGGGAGGGATACGGCCGCAAAGCTGACGTGTGGTAAGGACGCAGCCCCCGAGGGGATATCGTGTTGCTTTAAAGTGTGTGAGCATCTGGGTGGTCTAACATCTGAAGTCTGTGTTAAATATGCAACAAAAACAATAACTAGACTGGGCTGAAGAACAAATAAATAAATAATCAGCTTTTTATTATATAAAAAGTTATGTTTTTGAAGTTTGTAACAGCCATAGACTGACTTGTCAGAAAATCTGTAAAATTATTGCTGGAATAATCTAAAATAATCTCTAAACACAATGGAATTATGTTTATTTGGATACTTTTGGTAAATAAATGTTAAAACAGCTGCTTGTTTTAGCTGCTCAGTGATTTAAGCTAGCAGTCGACCGATATATTGGCCGGTCGATATTTACCATTTTTGATCAGGGATGTCCGATATTATCGATCTACCAATATATATATATATATATATATATATATATATATATATATATATATATATATATATATATATATATATATATATATATATATATATATATATATGTGTATATATGTATGTGTATATAATATATATATATATATACATATATACACACACACACATTGTATTACTAACTTCAACTGAAGTAGTTGGAATTTTGCACGGATGATGTTGTAAAGCTTAAGCTTGGTTTATGCTTGACGCATTCACTTTCCGCTTGGTGATGCGGCTCGCGGATGGAGCGCGCTTCACAACTCACAGCGTTTATGGTTCATGCGGCTTGTCTCTGCGGTGAGCCAATATTCTCCCAAACTGAACGGGGCAGCATGGAGCTCTACGGCATGCATCCAACACTACACCATAGTAGAAGTAGAAATTACTGTTTACAACATGGCATTCCAGCATTTTTAACAGCGTCCTCGTCTTTTCCGACAGTGCGAGCTATTTCTCTCCAAGAATTATTAACAACATGTTGATCACGGTGATCTCTGAGAGCTGAATCATACAAATGTCTGTATTTACGAACCTCTGCCATACTAGTTCTTGTCAGTCCGCCATGTTTTTCCGTGTCCGACCGTCCGCGTGGTTAGAAAATTTCCTAGGTGCGCGTTGCGGAAATTTTGGACCGTGCGGAGGCGCGGTGGAGGGGCGTGGTTGTTAAAATGACGCAATTTTGCCGTGCGGACCTCGCGGACGCGTCAAGCATAAACCAACCTTTAGGCATTCACAATAGGAGATATGTGTTGTTAGCAAACTAATCGATTTATTTGAAAGATTTATTATTTTCTTTTTTTTATTGGGGGGACCACGCATATATCGTTATCATTTTATATCGATATAGAAATTTTAGAGTTGGTCAAAAAGCCAATATCGAGCATCCCAATTTTTTTATGCATCAACATCGGCCGATATTTGTCTTTAGTCAAGCCGATTTAAAGTCAGGCACATCCTCGGACAGCCCGGTGCTGTCGCAGAATTTAATTTGAATGTATTTTTACATTCACTAATAACATCTATATAGTAAATACTTTAATTAACTTTATTTAGGTGTCTGACTTTACACTGAGCAGTGCACAAAGTTAAGATTTAACAGCTGGGTCAATTCAGGTTCAAAAAACTAATTTAGCTTCAGAAATTTTGTGCATCAACTGACATATTAGTGACAGTAGTGACTAAAAATTGGTTTGATTCCGATCCCGAGTAGTCGGTGCATTTCAGAATGACAAAGAACTTCTGTAAATTCTGTGTGTTGTTCCCCTTCAGGAGCGTTGCCTGCACCGTCGTTGAGATGTTGACTCAGAAACCTCCGTGGGCCGAGTTTGAAGCCATGGCAGCCATTTTTAAGATCGCTACCCAGCCCACGAAGCCTCTACTCCCGGAGAGCGTGTCCGACGCGTGCAGGGACTTCCTGCGGCAGGTATTTGTGGAGGAGAAGTGGCGGCCCACGGCAGACTTCCTGCTCAGCCACCCATTCGTCCAAGGCAGCTTTTGAAGCCTGTGGACGCCCCGTCCTCGTCCCCTTCTCGGTGGCCTCCTTCTGCCCCATCCCATGGCTCAGCAACACTCCACCTCCCCGCTCTGAATTGAGGAACCCTTCATCTCTCACTGACTAGCTGATCCCAGACTATTTCCCGAGAGGCCGGGTCAGAACTCCCGAGTTTCCCAAGGTGTTCCTGACAGGAAGTAGTATCACATGCTCCAAGCTGCTGTCCCACAGCAAGAAAAAAGGAGCCCGTCAGCTTTCTGGTTCCCTCTTTATGCCTGTGTACTATCCCCAGAGAGAATGGACTCTGTGACTGCCCGGTGACATCACTCACTTATGACAGGACTGTACGGAAGCCTAAGAGTGCTGCGGGTGAGACAAAAACAGACAACTATTTTTATATGACATGCAGCGATCCTAGCCGCTGAGATTTCTACTGTCGTCTTAATAAAACTGTAAATGTATTTTTGCCTTACAACAAGAAATTGTAAAGTATGAATGTGTTTTTTTTTCTAACATCTTAAAGGGATCCTTCCTCCACGGCACCCCCACTTCAGAAGGATCGTTGCACTTTTGATATCACGCTTTGAATCGAGGAGATATTTTTCTATTTGATGCTTCTTTTTTAGAACGTCAACGTGTAAAGAAAAAACCAAACTTCTGCATCGGTGTGCGATGTCTCTGAAGCAATACTGCTGTTAAAACGTTATTCCATCTTCCCACCCGGGGGAGTCTTGTTCTGTTTTAAAGTGGCCAAAGAAAACACAGAGACATAAAACTTGCAGTATTAATCACGTTGGACTTTTTATTTTGTTTGTTTTGTCACCTTCGGCCTTCTCTAGCTTTGTGCACTTTAGCCTGCGCAAACCAAATCCGGTGCATGGAAGCAGAAGGAAGGATGTGTTTCGGTAGGAGTTCAGGGCGAACCCCTCTCACCTCATGCCTTCATTTAGCTTCTCTTCCTTTGTGATATTGGAACGAAACACTGTCTTCTCCAAGGTGGAGGAGAGATCAAAGTCGGGCTGGATCGGTGTTGGACGTGTAGCTGTAATACAGATCAAATCGTTTCGGACTCTTTGTCGGTGCCTTATCTTGTTCTTGTCTTAGACACAAACTCACTGCCAAAGCGGAGAGCTTCCCAAAACAACGAGCAGCTGTTCGGTTAAGAGCACACCCAGGATTTTCTGCTGTTCTCTTACATGGACGACAACTATACTGTACATACATTACGTTCTGCACTTTTATACGAAATGTCTTTTACATTATAAGCAACCGTGCTTGATGAATACCGTCTATGTTATACTGTAGACGGCTAATTTTATTTTTTTTTACATGTATGATCGTCTGTTTGAGAGCCGACTGGCGTTATGAAAAGACCAGGAGGCTTTAGACCGGGACAGAGTTTGTTTTTGTCTTCATGACAAAGCCTTGAAACATGAAATGTATCAAGTCATTGATCTTTTGTACATTTAACTTAATAAATCAAAGGTCTAAGACTGTTTTAAGTCTGATTTCTTTGAGTTATTGTGTGATGACATTGATTGGTGACAAGATGGAGCGAGAGGTTGATAGGCGGATTGGTGCTGCGTCTGCAATGATGCAGTGTTGTGCCAGTCTGTCGTGGTGAAGAGAGAGCTGAGCCAGAAGGCAAAGCTCTTGATTTAACGGTCGATCTACGTTTCTACCCTCACCTATAGTCATGAGCTTTGGGTAGTGACCGAAAGAATGAACGCAGATACGAGCGGCTGAAATGAGTTATCTCTGCTGGGTGGCTGGGCTCTCCCTTAGAGATAGGGCGAGAAGCTCAGTCATCCAGGAGGGGCTCCGAGTAGATCCGCTGCTCCTCCACATCAATAGGAGCCAGTTGAGGTGGCTCGGGCATCTGGTTAGGATGCCACCTAGGAGGAGATCCGAGGGAAGACCCAGGACACGCTAGAGGGACTATGTTTCTCGTCTGGCCAGGGAACGCCTTGGGATTCCCCCGGAGGAGCTGGCCCAAGTGGCTGGAGAGAGGGAAGTCTGGGCATCTCTGCTGAGGCTGCTGCCCCCAGGACCCCAGATAGGCGGCCAATATTGGAAGGACGTTGATGTATCTCCTTTATTAATTTTATTCCCTTTATAACTGTGTTTTGTTGGGTTCTACATACTGTTTAATGCTGTATTAACAAAGAAAAGTGAGCAGGGAGGTGTACAGTAAAAACTTTGTTTGCCAACATATTTTTGCCCACGGCAACCCTGAGGCAAAATTCTAACATACTTTCAGTATTTTTCATCTAAATTATTATATGCAGTTTACCAGGTTTCAACTTAATATTTGTAGATGTACAAAAAAAAAACTTGTCTGGCGACTTCAGTTGGCCAGTATTTTACTCGATCTAGTTAGTCACAGGTCAGGTAATCGGAATCTTCAAAAATCTGATGCTTTATTCGTTCCTGAATGCATCCTTGCCAAGCAGCAAAAATAAATAAATAATAAAATAAAAAAAGTCAACTTTTCCTGGCCCTTGAACACACCATTTTAAAGTGTCAATTCATGCTAACAGTAACAGATTTTCCAAATGGAAGAATTTACTCCCAGGATCATAAATTCCATGCCGATCCGTTTCTGTACTTTGACTTCTTATTATAGTTTGCAAAGAAATATTTAAATTTGCTTTAGAAGGTCAGAGCTGTAAGAACCAGATTTCTCGAGAGAAGAATCAGTGCATCCCTAAAGGAACTTATCAACATTTTTATACCAATGTTTACACTGTAAAATGTATTTTAAATATATAGCTATGTGGATTTTACATCTTAAATGAATTAGAGCCAAGTGGAGATCAAAATTCTAGCCATATGCAAAGATGATGATGAAACTTTAAACCAGTAGCTCAAAAACACCAAAGAACATAACTTATGAATGCTCTTATGCATTTCTCTTAAATAAGTAAAGCAATAAATAATAAAATAAATAAAACGTGTTTTTGTTCTGATTTTTTAAATGGTGTTACATCAAAATGTGTCCCCACTTTGTTTTTATTTATATGCTTTTTTCAATAAACAAAATGTGAAAATATTGCTAAAAGTACACAACAGAATTTTATGAACAGAAATCTGGATTTATTGTGTTTACTGGTTTTCAAAATGTTGTAAGACAAACTTTTAAAATGTATATTTAGCACTGACCGATTAATACTGTCGATTAAACAATGTATTTGTCCTTAAATTACAAAACACAGATTCAAAACAGAGCCAAACATCCAACCAAAATTAATTTAATTTATAAATCGATTAAAATCTGAGTCGTGAATTCAATTAAAGTTAATAATCTAAGTTTTGGAGGAACTGATTTTTAAAAAGCAAGCCTTAAAATGTCAAATTAGGGCCGTTCAAACACTGAAGTTGTTATAAAATCATATTATAAAACCAGATGTTTTGTAACGTGTTTGAGCACGTGACCATTCCTCACGGCACGGGCGCGTGAAGCGAGCGAGAGGAGCAGCTCTTTGTGTTTCTCTGTTTTTCGGACAAACACCGCCGCTGTGTTCACTCTGCTCTTAACAACCATGTCAGCCTCTCGTACAATTGTATGTTTACTACGAAACGACTTGCGTGTTCACGACAACGAGGTAAGGGCGAAAATCTCTTTACAAAGCAAAAAAATACGGTTATTTTACTTGTGCACTTACATAATTAATAATTGTAATATTAGCAAAAATATTCGCTCTACTCCCAAGTGCATAGTATTATTTTTACGAGTGAATTAACAAAGAAGTGCTTCTACGTTTGAAAATAGTGTTAAATTACACATGACGTTACTACCTCCACAGGAAGAATTGTTGTTTACTTCCGGTGTACGTTCTTCACAATAAAAACCTTCTCTTCAAATTAAAATAAAGTTTTAAACGGCATATTTATTATTAAGACTAAAGGCACATTGAAAATAAGAATGAGGTGGCGGAAAAGGTGTCAGAAGATACAAGCAAACCTACAATTGTTAAGACAGTGGAAATACATTTGGAAAAGTATGTATATAAACTTAATCAGTAACGAAAACAAATATAACATGTTCACTATCAATAAAGCATTTAGTGTAATAGTTTATACGTTTAAAAAGTCTGTCATTTGTGCTGTCTTTTCTTCTGATTCTGGTTATCTTGGGACGTCTCAGGCTGGAGATGTCCTCTAGAAAGGATGAGAGACATCCAGTGATATTTTCTGCCTTGTTTTATGATCTTCTGAAGGGCCTCCTGAATTTGTTACAAGATGTTAATTTTATCTCTTAATTCTTCAGGGGTAAATTCACCCATGACTTTTGATTTTCAAAATAAAAGATAAGTGGTGGGTAAATTAAGAAAGTCAATACAATGGAATGTTAAGAGACAGAACTGGAGTATGTTTAAAGAGTTTGTTTACTTCCACATAGGTTAGGGTTAGGGTCCCACAGTAATAATCCTGACCTCCTATTCTTGACCCACAGCTTTTCCACTGGGCACAGAAAAATGCCGAACACATAGTTCCTCTGTACTGCTTCGATCCAAGACATTATGTGGGGACTCACAACTTCAACTTCCCAAAAACTGGGCCTTTCCGTCTGCGCTTCCTGCTGGAGAGCATCAGAGATCTCAGAAACACGCTACTCAGCAAGGGCAGGTAAAACTCTGACGTGCATTTTCTCACAATAAATTATTAAATGGAGTTAAATCTCATTTTCTAACTAAAAAAGATTTTATTCTCACTCATATTTGGGGGCAGTTCATGTTCTCAGCTTTCTAGGACAGGATTATTACACTTAAAACAGGATCAGGACACACCTGCACCTACAGGGGGTTGTGTTTACATTAACATTCCTGCTGCACACATTGTTCCAATGATTTTATCCGGTCAACTCTCCCTCTACCCAGGATGCAGCTTGCATGGCATTATGGGAGCTGCGACTCATGTGTGTGTTTATTTGTGTAACAGCAATCTGGTGGTGAGACGGGGTAAGCCGGAGGAGGTGGTAGCAGACCTCATCAAGCAGATTGGTTCTGTTAGCAGCGTTGCCTTCCACGAAGAGGTAGCGGGACGCTCGTCTGTTTATACTGGTAATTTTCAGGATTGCATTCTGACTTTATTTGTGTGGTTAAACTCCAGGTTACTTCAGAAGAGCTGGGCGTGGAGAGAAAGCTGAAGGAAGTCTGCGCTCAGTTGAAGGTGAAGGTTCACACCTTCTGGGGCTCTACACTGTACCACAGAGATGATCTGCCCTTCCATCACATGTCCAGGTGTGGGAGGATATTGTTTTCCTCTGATTTCTGCTGGACAAGCACCTTTCTGGTTGAAGTGTTTTTTTTTTTTTTTTTTTTTTTTACTAATAATGGGATTTTTCTTCCTTTGCTTGCTTTAGGCTGCCTGATGTGTACACTCAGTTCAGAAAGGAAGTAGAGAGCCAGAGCAGAGTGAGACCTGTGTTCCCAACTCCTGAGAGACTGAATCCTCTTCCCCCGGGGGTGGAGGGGGGAGATGTTCCCACAGCGGAAGACCTGCAACAAACAGGTAAAAGTGAAAAGTCTCTTTAGATTTATTTCAAAGGCTTTCATTTAAATACTTTCACTCAGGGCTGAACGATTTCCGGAAAAGATTGAATTGTGATTTTTCTGGTGGAAATTGTGATTTTTATTCACGATTTTCTGCAACTCAAAATTCTGCACAATAATAGCAATGTTCAGTAACGTTTACAAACATGACAGGAAATGACATCACACCATCAAATCATTATGAGCTATGACTGGATGTTTTTTGCTTTAAAGATATTTTGCAACTTCCTCATATTTTTAAATCATTTTCTTGAGTCAGTATATGCTAGAATAACCCCTTACAGGGTTTATGAAAGGCCACCCAGCCCCCATCACCCTCTGTGGCCAGAATGTTCCACTTGCACCTTCAGAGTTGCCGGTCCGGTCTCTTGAGCTTAGAAAAAAATGGAGCTGACACACCTGGCGCTGCAGTCTGGTTTCTGCAAGATTCCTTCACATTTTAGATGATGAACACGGCTGATTTGTTTAATTTAGTGATGAATCACTCCTGTAGACACTAATGAAGGTGGGGAAGACATTTCAGCTGTTAGATTAAGACGCATGTGTCAGATACAAGGCCCGCGGAGCACTTTTATCTGGCCCGCGAGATAAATGTCAAAAATATATTAAAACTGACCCGCTGGCCGATTTTACAGCTAAGACTACAACTCCCATGGTGCTTTGCGGCGTTAGCGCGGAGCTGAACCGCCCCCTCCTTTGTGTTTTTTCCAGCGTCTGCTACCGGTGTCTGCAGCTCGCTGTCTCTGAGAAACTACACACTCCTCTCACTCAGCGCCAAGTTTACTCAGCTATTTGCCGACGTTGAAGCCCAGAAACGGAGATTTTAACCGCTTAGTAATGTGTTCACGACTGAAAGAGAAAGTTTTCCAACTAACTTCCAGACAGAGCCGATATAACTCCAGCGAGCAGCGACACGTTCAAATCAGCATGACTCTGTGGTTGCTGTCGTTGCTGTTTTTCTTTCCCGACACACAACAATGTGGTCAAGCTGCTCAGACATGTTCAGAAGCACAAACCTATGTGAGCACCTGTTGTCATCTAATGTTGTCATTATTATGATGAAGATGAACAAAACAACAGGAATCTCCTCAGCTCAGATCAACTCCATGATGCAGGTATCTGGCTGGAACAGGTGAGCATCACAGTAAACCAGTGGAACAAACTGAGCTTTAAATATGTTGGTTGTATGCTCTTTTTCTGCTCCAAAACATGAAAGTTAACAGGTGAGATGTTGCATTTTCTTTTAAGATAAAATTATATTTTTATTTTGTTGTTGGCCCGTGAGAAAAGATTTAACCTACAGTAAACAGGAAGTGGAAAGGCTGCAGATAGATGAATAGAATAGAAAATCCCTTTATTGTTCCTCAGTGTGGAAAGCTAGACATCACAGCAGCGATGACACTTATTACAGGAGAAAAAAGGAGAAAAAGAAAAAAAAGAAAAATGAATAAACAACAAGAAAACATTAATCCTGAATAGATTTTAAAAATGCTGAATATACCACAAGTAATGAATACCACTGATGTGTTGTATTTAAAATTAACTTGCTCGTGTGTAATTTGGTTATTCCACATTCAGTGTTAATGCAAAAATAAGTTTGTTTCCAAATTAAAAGGTTCAAAATTGCATATATATTGATAAAGAAAATGTGCATATTTGCCGTCACTGTTTCAAAAAATATTAAGTTTGGCCCGCGACTTCGTCCCAGATTTTCATTTCAGCCCAGTGTGAATTTGAGTTTGACACCCCTGGATTAAGGTGTTAAAAAGGCGAACATACAGCGAGGAGATACGTTTTGCTGTTGGTTCTACTGAACGGACATTAGGGGGTGCTAAAAGCAAGTCAAAACTGCCTAGTCTCCCTTTAACACCAGATCCCGACACATTATTCATGCGTTCTTTGATTTGTCGCAACTCTGCAAAAGTTACCATCAGAAAAATTGAAATGTGTTTAAAAGTAGAGGAGTTGCGCTTTCAAGGGCACTTAGTGTTATTACATTAAATGTTGCAGGAAGTGGGCAAATCAGTCTCTTCGTACTACACTCACGAAAGGTGCTGAGTGAGAGACAGAAAATGATTAATGACAGATGACCACAGCTGTCAGTAATCTTGGCTGTAGTGGTGCCACAAAAAGAAAGGAAAATATAAAACAGGAAAAACGACAAAATGCATCGCTTCGTCAGCTCAAGCAGGGGCGTCGGACTGGGGGGGGAAAGGGTACCGTTTACCCAGGGCCCACTGCAGGGAGGGGCCCTGAGACAGCTTTGAATAAAAATGTTTTATTGTTGTTGTTTTTTTCCCCCAACTTACTTAATGTCTTAATAAATTTCCCTTTACCTGGATAAAGAGGTTAAGAAACAGAATTTCGCCTTAAAAATAATAACTGAATAATCTCTGAGGCATCTATCACCCCTTAAAAATGTGCAAAGTGGTTTAGTCCACACCAGCGGCCAGGGGCTGCCCGGCTGCATGTGCTAATGAGACATCGCAGATGCCGACAGCCAGAGCTGGAGGCAGGAGAGTCAGTCATGTCTTTTCCCAAGAAAGGGAAATCTGGCTTCCAGAAAAGAAAAGAAAAGAAAAGAAAAGAAGGAGAAGGAGGAAAAGTTAATTGAACAGAAGCAAGTAGAAGGAAGGTGAGCAGCAGCAGCAGAACACAGTTTTAGCTGATATTAGCTAGCTCTCAGAAGCTGCATTCATGTTAGGTGTTCAGTGTTAAACACCTTTAGTTTCACCATCAAGATCAAATATAAATTAATTAGTGTTATCAGTGAAAACACTAATTTTAGGGATAAGCCGGATACTCATTTCAGACGAGTATCCGGTAAGGATAATGCATTTTTGACGAATACGAGCATGAAACTAGTAAAACGAGTCATTATCTGTAATCGTGCTGAAGGAAAATCTTCATTGGGTAACTGACTGTCTTCACGCTCTGTGATTGGCCAGTCACATAGAGCGCCCGCCCCTCCCTACTTACAAAACTCTCTAGCCGACCGGGAGCTCAGTCCGGCCGGCTCATCCACGCACACACACAGACAGTAACGGATCGCGCTGTGATTGCTTCACTGTTGCTCACGTTTCTTCAGTTTTCCCTAGGTTTTCTTCAGCTCGCCTCTTTTTCGGTTGAATATTTAAAGTTACTTTTTTCGTAACTGACATGGTGCATTTGACAAGACAGAGCTGACGTGCTGTTGTCACTACCTCCGCTCCGGTGGGGTTTTTAATTTTTTTCTCTCTCTCTCTCTCTCTCTCTCTCTCTCTCTCTCTCTCTCTCTCTCTCTCTCTCTCTCTCTCTCTCTCTCTCTCTCTCTCTCTCTCTCTCTCTCTCTCTCTCTCTCTCTCTCTCTCTCTCTCTCTCTCTCTCTCTCTCTCTCTCTCTCTCTCTCTCTCTCTCTCTCTCTCTCTCTCTCTCACACACACACACTCACACACTCACACACTCACACACACACACATTAATCAACATTTCTTTGTTAAACTTTGTGTGGGAAAATGCCAAGAACGTTAAGAAAAAAATCAGTTTAATCAAATTAAAATAAAAAAATATATATAAAGTTGTGTCTGGTTCTAGCATTTCATATTTCCTAGTTCCTACTGCATGGGTTCAGATGTATTAATCCATGCACTCAAATATTAATGTTCTGATTTTATTGAAACACTTTTTCTGTAATAGTTTCTTTACTATTGTGATCAAAAATATTTAATCTCACTTCTGAGGCTGCTCTGTAAATAGTTTTCAAATTAACAATACACATAGCAACTTCTGATCAATCCATATCAATTTCAGACTTAAAATAATACATTGATGTAAACCATGTCCACTTCCGGTTAAACCACGCCCACTTCCGGGTTATGCCACGCCCATTCCGAGTACAGATACAGATAGTGGTGTACTCGCTCATCCCTAATATATATATATATATATATATATATATATATATATATATATATATTAAAATCAGAATTATTATCGCGGGCGGCCGCCGCCAATTAATTCGCGGACCTCGCAGTAAAAACAGGTTCACTCTGTGTGGATATTTCAGCTCCTTCCCAGTCATGGACCAGGACAAACTTGGTATCGATGGATTCGTGGTAATCTCAGGAATGAGAAGCTGCCACTGTTTTTCGTATAGCATGACGACACTGGTGTTAGAGGATTGTTATTGACTTGGTTAGATATTTTAAGCCTATTTTAAATTTCTTTATATTTGATCTTGAAAACGGACAATCTTATAATTTGGCTGATAATGCAGGGATTATAAAATTTAGAGTGCATTACATTCACAGAGAGAACCTGGTTTATTTCATGTCATATGTATTTAATATATCAATACATATAAGTATCAGCAAAGCTTAACATCATGGACCATGACAGACATGACTGAAGAGCAGATGAAGACATCATGCCAGGCACTGATGAGAAAATATTACAAGGATCTCACAGCTGAATTTGAGAATGAGATGCTACACCTGAGAACAATATATGGTGCCACATTTCCACATATTCGGTCTCCTCTTGAGCTGCTTAATGCCATACAGGATGCAATTACAGAGCATTTTTGGAGAAGTTTGTATTGGACTGAGGATATTTTGCACACTGCCTGTGACTGTTGCTGGGGGTGAACGGGCTTTTAGCAAACTGAAACTGGTGAAAAATTATTTGAGATCAACAATGTCCCAGGATAGACTGAACAGCCTAGTTCTTCTTTCTATTGAAAGCCAATTAGCCAAAGGATTGGACTTTAAAGATCTCATAAGTGATTTTGCTAACATGAAGACCCGTCAGTGGGCATTTACAGGAATATAAATTCCAGGATTTTTGTTTGAACACATTGTTGGCAAATAAAAATAATTATATGTGAAGTCTTGGCATTTCACTTTTATTATGCTGGCATTTGTATTTGCTCAATATAGAGGTTAAACTAAGATCATATTTATTATCTTGTCTTATAGCATGACAAAAAATGTGTCAGAGAGATATTAAGTAATTGAGCATGGGGGCCCACCTAGAAGACTTGTACCTAGGGCCCAGAATTTGGTGCTACGCCCCTGAGCTCAAGCATCGGGCACCCGCAACCCTCACCTCCACGCAGGCGCTCATTGCTACTGTCGTAACACGTTAAAATCTGGGGAAACCCCTAGATGTGTAAAATAGCTGCTGCAAAACACCTGCAGTGTTGGCAGTCACATGATCATGTTTGACATTGCAGTTTTGACTGGATAAGAACAGATCATTCAGCCCTACTTTCACTGTTTTCACACTTTCCAGATCAAATCATTTTTTTAATTCCTGCATGCTTCTGACTACAGAGATGAAGACTGGAGTCTGAGATTTAACCTTAAGTTGTGCTTTAATGGCAAAATCAAAGACTCCAGACCAGACTCTGACTTGAATTTGCACTTGTGCCTTGTGAATGACTGACTTGTTCCTCAAAATCCTAAGAATTTTATGACTATTGTGTCTTAATGCACATCAGAGGATGTTGAACCAGTTCTAGGCTGAAATCGTCTTGCTGTTTATTTTCTACAGAACCTTTAACTGATCCTCGTTCGGCGTTCCCCTGCAGTGGTGGAGAAAGTCACGCTCTGGCCAGACTTAAACACTACTTCTGGGACACGGTGAGTGCAAAAACATCCATTAAACCATATTAAAGTAACAATAAGTTTCCTGCTTCTTCCTCTTGGTTGAAAGTAGAATTACAACTATCGAAATGAGCCCTACCACAGCCTGCTGTAGCTAGCACTAACCACGAGCTAATGCTAACATGAGCTAAATGATGCTAAAAAAGCCACCAAGTAAAAACATCCCCAATGTCAAGACAAAAAAACTAATATTATTACTTACAAGTTCAGTTACAACAAAGCCAGGTCACCATCAGCCAATGATTTCATAGCATCCTTTAGCTTCCTGAAACTAATGTAGTCTGCGCCAGTGTTCACTCTGGTTTTAGCTCATTGCTTCGCCTCCAATTACATTACTCTCTGTCTTTTGCGTCCAGGCTCCATCGTGATGCCAACAAAAAAAAAGCAAAAATCTTCCTCTTGTGCTTTTTATTGACGGTTGGCAAACCGAAAAATGGTAAACTGCTGTTGCCATAAAGCAAGTAGAGACTTCCCTCTTGCAACGACACAAAACACAAAAATTATTAAGGGCAGTTTCTGGTCAGCAAAGGGCAGCAGAGTGATGTCCAGTGCGAAGTTCCTCAAGTTTGTGGCTCAAGAATCACTGAAACCAGTTTGAAAGCAATAATTAAACATGTTAAAACTCTTTAGTGTTACTTTAAAGGGATTATCCAGCTATATGTGACTCAGCTGTTGTAATAATTAGCCTCTTGTTCTGGTTGTTTTGTAGGATAAAGTTGCGTCCTACAAAGAGACTCGTAACGGATTGATCGGGGTGGACTTTTCCACTAAATTATCCCCATGGTGAGTTTAAATAGATGCTTGAGAAGGTTTAATTTATGGTATTTTTTAGCTATGCTGATTGAGTTTATACATTTGATAAAACTGGTTCTGTGCAGGCTGGCAAATGGTTGCATTTCTCCAAGATACATTTACCATCAGATCAAACGATACGAAGAGGAGCGAACAGCCAATCAGAGCACTTACTGGTCAGTAACGTTGTCCTTCATGCTTGGTGCTTTATGTGTTAAAAATGTGAAACAAGTCTGAAAAAAATTGTTTCAGTCACGTGAACTTCTGGACTTCCTGATCTTCTCTTGTTCAGGGTCATTTTTGAGCTTCTGTGGAGGGATTACTTCAGGTTTGTGGGTGTCAAGTACGGAAACAAAATATTTCTAATTAAAGGTAAAACTAGAGAATAGTGCTATGTTGTCATTTAATGTAAACAAACATAAAAAGTCCTATCCTGGTGGTCTCCTTTTAGGGCTTCAGGACAAACCTGTGCTGTGGAAGAAGGACACAAAGCTGTTTGATGCTTGGAAAGGTTTGTTTTCTCAACAAATACTTGAATAAAAATGTCTTTTGGTTTTGAACAGATGCTCTGAGAAATGACGTGAAGTCTGACCTTTGCAGAGGGACGAACAGGAGTGCCATTTGTGGATGCCAACATGAGAGAGTTGGCTCTGACGGGCTTCATGTCCAACAGGGGGCGGCAAAATGTTGCAAGTTTCCTCACAAAGGATCTGGGTCTAGACTGGAGGCTGGGAGCTGAGTGGTTTGAATACCTGTTGGTACGTAGTGAAGTAGGATGTATTTATGACATCATTATGTCTATACACGTTTTAAAAGTGTATTTGATGAGGGAGATTTGCAAAATATAATTAACCAGATTATGAATATTTTATGCAAGAAAATTAACACTATTTGTTGCTTTATTTGTCTTTAAATTCAACTCAAACAATTAAACAATTTACTAGTATTAAAAACATTCTAAATGGAATTTTCTTAAAAATAATTTTCTATGAAAAAAAGTTAAAGTTCTCACTTCTGTTTAGTTTATTTATCTAAATGTTGGTTTTAACTCCTGACCAGGCAGGAGCAATCTATTTCAGATTAAATCAAACAGCATCCAAAACTAATCCTACTCTTTGGGTCATGTGACCCTAAAAATGTGAACTCATCGGAATTTTTTAAAACATTACATTTGACTGTAACAGAAAAACAAAAAGCTTGATTTAAACATAAATTTTCACATGTTTTAATTTTTTTATTTTTTGTAAAGATTGATCACGATGTCTGCAGCAACTACGGCAACTGGCTCTACAGCGCTGGAATAGGAAATGACCCTAGAGAGAACAGGAAGTTCAACATGATCAAACAAGCCTTGGACTATGACAGCAATGTAGGTTGGAGGAGATAACGGTTTAGTTTACATCCCACACGTCTGGTCTCTAATTCGTGATTTGTGGCTCGTGCTTCAGGGTGACTATGTGAGACAGTGGGTCCCAGAGCTGAATGCGGTCAGAGGAGCAGACGTTCACACCCCCTGGAACCTGAGCTCAGCTGCTCTGTCTAATGCTCACGTGTCCCTCGGTGAGACCTACCCCACCCCAATCGTCATTGCACCTGAATGGAGCCGACACTTTAACAAGAAACCGGTGGGTGTTTCAGAAAAAGGGAAGTGGAAAGTGAGAGTGAAAGCTGTAACTGATGCCAACTTTAGAGCTGGAATAGGACTAGATTTTTTTTTCTAAGGGTTTTGGTCTAAATCTTTTGTGAAAATTAAAAGAAACATTAGTTGTTGTTGTTTGTTTTCTAGAGCAACTCAGGACCTTCACCAAGAGGGAAGCGAGGCCCGTCTCACACTCCCAAACAGCATCGGGACCGCGGCATCGACTTCTACTTCTCCAGAAGCAAAAACCTGTGATGCAGCTGAGGGCGGTCGCTGCAGAAGGGAGGATTATTCTAGTCAAATCTATGTTGTGTGTATAGATTGTTTAACGGGAAGTTGTCCAAAGAAATTTTAAGGAAGTGCCTCTTTTGCTGTAAAATGTGTCTCGTGATGCACCTTGTGTGAACTCTGCAGAATTTCCTGCAGAGGAGCAGAAACTTTATTTTCCTAAATGTTTAAAGTTTGTTTCTTTGCTGCAGTTACAATAAAGAAAATTGTTACAAATGCAAAAAAAATCCTATTTGTTAACAATTAAATCTGAACGTTCTAATTTGTCACTTTAAGTCACTGTTGTAAATGGTTAATTTACATCTATTTAAGGAACCATAAGACATAAGATTCCATAGTAAATATTAAATCAGTCTTATGGATCTTTGGGTACTTTTAACCAGAAGATTGGAACTTTTTATTGCAGGGATTATGTAACACTTCATATTGACTGACAGACAACAGAAGAGAGTCCTTTTAAAACGATTTATTTCTAAAAAAATTTAAACAAGACTGACACTAAATTCTAAGTGAACGGATGGATCTTGGTGTGAATGAGACGTGAGATGAATGGTGTGTGTGAGTGATGTTGTCATCAGAACTCTCGTATCCGGAGAAGCAAGTCTGAATGATGTTATGATGTTTCGCTCTTAAGCTATGATCAGAGTTTCATAAACACATGAGACTCCATCTTGTCGCTCCACACATACCCTTCAGGATGAGACCTCCGTACAGATCCAGAATGCCAGGTCCTCGGACCCTCCTTCGGTACAGGAGCCGATGAAACAGCGTCAGCAGTACGACAGACTAGTCTTTGGATTGTCTCCAGGTAAAAAGCAACAGTTGGTTGACGGCGTCAGATGGACCCGGAGGGTCAGTGAGTTCAGCTTTTATTCTGAAAGGAACCGTTGCTTGGTTGGTAAAATGCAACAGATTTTATCCAGCTTGTTTATTCATTGCTTAAAAAGGAAGTCCGGGTGGCCGGTCCGATACTTCTCTTAGAATGCGGTGAACTGTAGAGAACTCAAGAGAACTGAACTAAGATGGCGTGGGGACTGGTTTTATTGATCTGGATGTTTTGATTTATGGTCGAATCAAAGTTGGCAGATTTATAAACACCACAGAGACTATGCCATGCTTCAGAAACGAAGGTTCCGATTGGATGAGTAAAAGCAAATTGTCAAGCGTTTACATTACATGTCGTGAGAATGTCAAGTGCAGCTAGATTAAAGTCATATTACTCATTAAACTTGCTAATCATAACATTGTCATTCCACAGATTGGTCAACATCTTATTATTGACTAACACTTTATTTGATTAGCTTTATTAAAAATAGAGTTCTTTGATTTATTAAAAAAAGAGTCCTTTATCTTCAATCTTCTCTTGAGCTGGAAAGGAGAAGTTTTAGAAGCAAATGCATGACCTTGAAGCAATATCTCATGCAGATTAGTTCTTGCTGAGGAGAGGGGGGAAATGACTGTTGTAGTGCGATGTCTATCACTAACAATGTCTATGTGGGTGGAGTTCAAGTCCTTCAATAAAAAGGGAAGTGCGGGTTCCTCCTCCCCTGTGTGTGCGCGTGTATGAGGCTGCAGGTGGCGTCGCGGGGCGCTGTGAGCTTGTTCATGCACTGGGAGAGCTGAGGACATGTGCACGTGTTCAGTAAAACGTGTCCTTATTTCACTAACTTAGTTTAAGTTAAAACGGCAGCTTCCAGTGTGAGTAGAAGAGGATGTCCACTCCTGCTGAGGCGTCGGGAGCGACCGGCCAGAGAGGGAGAGATGCACCTACTGGCACGAGTACAAAAATGACTTTTAGGTGGAAAACAGTCATTTCATTCCGTTACATATTCCCCCTTTTCAATGGTACGGTGGTCCGTACAGACCACCTGGCGTTGAATAAACCAGAGTCCTAAAAGGACTCTGATGATAGGGGAAGGTGCAGTTCCCCAGGAAGAGGCCAAAAGTGGTGAGGTACGAACCCCACTCCGAAGAACAGTCTTGTATAATCCCTCGGGAAGCACACAAGTCAGCAGATTATCAAGACATCCCAGTGGAAGTAACAATTTGAAGCAGGAGCAAAACTTTATATATCCACGGGTAGGGAATACTTCCAAAATAGCATATTGATCTTTGTAATTGCACTTATCGTGATTCAGTGCAGGAAAGAGCAGCAGGTAGGTCAGGTCCCAGCGAGCAAAGTATCCCAGCAACCATGCCGGAATCCATGTAGGTCCAGGTCCTACGAGCCGGAACACCAATCAGGAGGAGTAGAATCCAATGACGAATCATAGGTCCACCCCCAGGAATCGAGGATCATCGATGAAACTCAGCAGAGGAGAGAGGGCACAGCACAGGGCACTTCAATGTAGACACAACAAAATGGCGTCTAATGCAAATTAATAAACAAAAAGAAACCTAGCACTGTGAGTACCTGCATGTACTATGTGTAGGCAATTATGTGAATTAGCGTATTACGTGAAGAAATGGATGCAATACACTTCGTGTAATGGCAAAAGTGGTGCAAAAAGAATAAAATTAATCAAACCCAATGCTGCGTAAGGGAGAAATCACTGCACTAAGTAAAAATGTAATCAGAATGAAGGGCAAAAATGGTTGTAGCCCATAATGGTAAATTAACAAAGTTAATCATAAAGTTCTCAAAACTGAATCACTGTAGTAAAGTTCTATAAAAAGATAGATATATGAGTGTCAAAGAGCACTAAAAATATAAATCAGTGAAGTTAGTAATCAACCTACATGTAAATGTGTCGCGAGCGTGTCCTATTTGTCGGTTCCTTTAAAACCTGGTTCCGTTAGAACCTAAGACTGCGCTGCTTTCTCAGGGTTCGTGGGGCGTCGGTGAGTTTTATTGTATTAGACCCTGGTTTGGACCCCCTAATTAGAATCAGTTTCCTATTTTAAGGTGAGAATGATATGCCGTACTTCTTCTTTTGTGATAGCATACTTTCTTTTTAGTTTCTCCCGTTATTTAGTGGTTCTAAATACTAGGGCAAAGTTCAGAAGCAGGCCATTCTTCTGACAATTCTTTGGGTCATATTAGGATTAATTTGCGGCTCTGTCAGCTTTGTGGGCGGTGGTAACTAGGAAATGCTTCTTGTTAGTTGATCAGGCTAACATAGATTTATCAATTAATCTAATTAATCCAACCTTCCCACACTGGCAAAGACTTTTTCACAATTGCAAACAGAGCCTATTTTAACCTACTAATGTTTTGGCTTATCAATCCTCAAGATATCTCGTTACTCACGGGAGAGGAGAAGACTAGCTTCTTCACTTAAGGTTTCATTCTTAATCTGTCACAAACTGTAAAGCAAGTGCTGATTATTCAGGAACCTGTAATTACAATATGCTTACCTCTCCTATTGTTTCGGGATCGGGGCTCCCACTCGAACCTTTAAAGAGGACCTTTAAGAATCAGGAATGTGGCCGGTGAAGATGGTTGGCTAGAAGACGTGTTTTCACTGTGCTCCCGCTCCCACCTGTATTTTTTACAGTGTTATGCGCGATACTGTCTATATTTTTATCTAAAATATTGACTGAGAGTTATAGGAATACGCAACAGCCATAATTACGCTTTTTGGATGACAAGTAATGTCGAAACAGACGAAGATACAGACTCGAAAGACGACGGCCGCCATGATGAACAACAGTGCTAGCCAAACGGACATGCTAGTAGCAATGGGCGACCAGCCCTCGCCCCCGGTGGACACCGCAGCTCTCATCCGTGAGGTGACTAAAAGCATCAGTGAGGTAATTGATCAAAAACTGTCTACACTGTCCGGGACGCTGGAGAAAATTTCGTGCTCGCTGGAAAGTGTCTCCAAGCGCGTCACGGAGGCAGAGCAGAGAATCTCTGATGTGGAAGATGGGGTGAATGACCTCGCGGGAAGACTGGTTGAAGCTGAGGGGAAGATTAAGATCATGGCAAAAAGCTTGGATGACTTAGAGAACCGCAGCAGGCACGACAACATCCGCATTATTAATCTGAAAGAAGGCGCGGAGGGTGAGAGTCCTGCTCAGTTTTTTGAAACCTGGCTACCTGCTACGCTTGGACTGGGCAACAGCTCCACGGGTAAAGCCCGCATTAAAATTGATAGTGCACACCGGGGCCTCGGCCCGCGGGGTACTCGCCCCAGGCCGGTGATTATTAAGCTCCATAACTCCAGAGACAAACAGCGGATCATGGCAGCAGCGAGAGCGGCGCCAGAACTTCACTACGAGGGACAGCGGATCTTTATACACCAGGACTTTTCCTACGCGATCCGTGAGAAACGACGGGGATTTAATGCTTCTTGTCGTGCGTTGATTGACAAGGGCATTCGCTTTAGAATGCGCTACCCAGCGACGCTCGTGTTGAATCATAATGGCACTGAGCATAAGTTTGATTCGCCTAAAGATGCACAAAGTTTCATCAATGCACTGGATTAAAAGACAACTGATACTTGTCCTGTACAAACTGTGGCACTGTTGGATTTAACTTGGAACATGGCATGGATTCAGCATGCAGCAGGATGCGTAAGTCCAATATGTTTAATGCAGCCTGAGGGAAGAGAGACAGTTTAAAGGGAAAATAGAGGTTTGTTCGTCTTTTGTTCCTAAAATGGCTTTAGGGCCAATATCTAGTATAAAGTATTAATCGTTTACTCAGTCTTCAGTTTTTCTCTTTTTTTTTTTTTCCACAACTGACAGTAACCTGATCTTATTCAGGTTTGGGAAGCGGGGGTGGGGTTCTGTTTTGTTTTTCCCCCCGTGGAGTGAAACTTCTTTTGGCTACACTGGTCTTGTAATACCACCCAGTGGGTGGCTCTTTCGTTCTTGATTTCCTTTTGTGTGTGTGTGTGTGTGTGTGTGTGTGTGTGTGTGTGTGTGTGTGTGTGTGTGTTTGTTTTGTGATATTTTGACGTCTATCCTAATTCTTATATTCGTATGCAATTTGTTGTGTGTGTGAAGGTTTCCTTGCCATTCGTTTTCGATGGTTTTGTTCATGTCAGCACGGCCAGTCCAGGTCATGGGTTAAATCTTTTACAGTGTGTTTATTATGATGGTTATTTCTGTTTGCTTTGGGTTGACGATTTTTGTCCAATGACTGACATCTTATACAGTGAGTAACATTAAAATTATGACTCTCAATGTCAAGGGAATTAACCATGTTATTAAGAGACGCAAAATAGTTTCCTCACTCAAAAAAGATAGAGTGCAGATTGCATTACTGCAAGAGACCCACCTCACAGATTCTGAACACTTAAAACTCAAGCGTGATTGGGTGGGACAA